CCATAAACATCTTACTGACTTAATTTTTTATTCATCTTAAAATGGACAAATAATATTAAATTTCCCAATCAGTAAATACTTTGTTCTAGTGTCTTTATTTGCTTTATGGTCTTGAAAGTGTTCAAGTACATAGCACACGCCTATACAGTGCATGTTACAGTGCATGACTTCATGCTTATACTTGTGAAGTTGTAGCTGATATTTGTAGATCTGTTGTTGCTGTTAGCTGATTGCTTATCAAACTGATCCTGCTTTTTGGTGTTGATGGTTTGCTTGATGTGTTTAATTGGATCCCTCTGCATGTGCCTTCTGAAGGAGCTTAAGCTGTGTGTTTATGTTGTACCGCGTCTCCTCTGATATGCACCAATCTGGTTTCTTTTTCATCGAGATGCGTGCACATTATAGAAGTTACATAAGTACTTCCCAATGGCATTTAGAGGGGTAATTGGGACTTGTGATTCTGAGGTCCTAGTTGGTTTATTGCCACCACATCTTAGGTGAGGTTATGGATATTTTCATTACTATATGCGGGCATGATTTGTCTATTAGGGTTCCAATGTAGTTGTGTACTAGAACTCTGGTGATTGATGGAAGTAGGGGGTAGGGGGGAGGGGTTAAATTACTGTGTTAAGGTGCTCTCCCTAAGAATGTGTCCTCTCATATGGGTTTTGGTCGTATATGCTTGTTACCATATTGAACAATCTCTTTTTGCTAAATGGCTATGGGTTTGACTTGTTTGGTGAGGAAGTTGGGGAAGGTAACTAGATATAAATTCGGTTTTTTTACTTGTTACGAAATACTTTATAGGTAGTGTGATGGACCTATTGCCATTGCTTAAGTTTCATGCTTCAATTTTGTTCGGTATGGGTAGGGGTGGCAAAATCATACCCAAACCGCCCAATCCTACCCAACCCATTTAGGTTTAGGTTGGTTAATGACCTGCTCATTGGTTAGCTCAACCCATTTCAACCCATTAAAAATTGGGTTGATATGAAACTCTAATTGATTTTTGAGAAATCTCGTTAAAACATTTTTGATTTTTGATGTTGTACGTTATATATAGTTATACTTTCAAAAAAACAATAATTTTATTAGGTACTAAAACCTTGTAAAATAACAAATAAAGCTATTAAAACTTGGTAAAAATTGTGTGGATTTGGTTATGATCCATTATTAACCTGTTATCTAATTTGTTTGGCCCAAACAAATTTGGGTTGGCTTGAAATAGGGTTTGACCTGTTTATTGTTTTGATCCATTTTGACTTGTCTAAATTTATCTAACCCATCACTCCTATGTATGGGCGAACTAATGGGTATTCCTGCCGAAAGTTGTTAGGTTTGCTAGGCATGGAATTGGGACATTTATAATTTCTTCCGTCTTTTTACTGTCCGACCTATCCAATTGAAGAATTCCAACCCATAAATCTTATCGGTGAAGAATTTGTCACATTTGGTGTTTACAATAATAAACCAATAGATACGTTGCTTGCAAATGTTTGCATATGTATTTTTTCAATGTTTACAGATTTGTGTCTAATAATAATAATTATGGTTTGGTGTAAACATTGGCAAGTTTATATCTCTAATAGCTGGAAGTTTGTAATTCTCGGATATACCGTATTTTGTGTTGCTCATTATCTTTTTACTTCCAAGCGGTACCCCAAGTTCAGCACCACGGGTAGGGGTGTACAAAATCAAATCAAATCGTAAATCGAGTCAAATCGGAAAAAAATCGACTAATAATGGTTTGGTTTGACTTGATTTGATATTGAAAAAAAATCCGACTATACTTGGGTTGATTTGGTTTTAACTAAAAAATAATCAATCCGAGACCAAACCAACTCGACATTATATATATAATTTTTAAAATTAATTTCATACATAAAAGTATTTAATTTGATATAATTTCTAAATATTTCTTATACGTTTTCATAATTTTTATCTTTTAGCATATTTTTTCAAGTTTTTTGAAACTTAGAATTTTGAATGGTCCAATAAAGGTAATAGTCCATAAATATTAGTAACTCTAATAAAGCTTAATTTAAAATCAAATCAATACTAATGCTAACAAAATAAATTAATTCAACACTTAATGACAATAATATTGAATATTTGTTCTAGTTTTACATTGGTTTATACATTAAAAATGTCATAACATAATTTTAATTTTTCGTTAATGTTTAATCATGTAATTAATACTTATTAGACTTATTATAGCAAGATTTAGTACTTTTAAAACTATGATCATTTTCATTTTGACTTATCAATTCGCAATAATTATTTTATACGATTTCATTATTATTTTCTTATTGAATATTTTAGTGTCATCACTCATCTCATATTTTGTGTTATTTCTGAAGAAACACCTTAAATAGTGATATTTTGGTTAGACTAAAAAAATATTTGTAGTACAAGTTAATTATATATTTATATGAATACTTTACTGGAAAAATCCAAAAACCTAAAAAAATCTGAGGTTTATTACTTTGGTTTAATTTAAAAATTTAAAAATTCAACACAAATGATTTGATTTGATATTTAAAAAACAGGAACCAATTAGCTGGTCAATTACGAAATGACTTGTATATATATTTTTGACAGTATATTTCAACATCTTTTAAGGCTTAGGCCCACAATTGAGATACCCTTTTATACTTACATGAACAGTGACTCAATGACTTCCAAGTCGTTCCAACTCTGCCCGTATTTTACAAGCTGAGAAATAAATTTCATTGACTTACAAGTCTTGTGTTATTTAACCTACTAGCTCTGTGCTATGAATTGTAATTATGTAAATTATAGCTACTATTATAATTATGGTTCAAACTCTAGCAATTTATGTAAAATTTTCCACAAAAAATTGCAAATTCTGCGCTACATGACCCGCGAAAATGATACAACTATTGAAAGGATCATTGACACTTACGTTCTTGAAATTTTATGCTGGTCTTTAATTTTTATCTAATAACTGATAAATTTTGTAATGTGTATCTTTGTATCAAGGGAAAAGGGCCTGATATACCCCTCAATTTTGTCATTTGGAGCTGATATGCCCCTCGTTATGAAAATGACTCATACATGCCCTTACCGTTATACAAACGGCTCACATATACCTCTACCGTAACAAAATGAGTTCAATTTAGTCATATACCCTTTATTTAACGGAAGTGAAAAAATTAGTTTTAAATTTATATTTTCGACTTTTATTTTTTTTTTAAAAATCATTTAGGGGTATATATGATTTTTCTAGCGAATTTCAAGGTATATTTTAATCTTTTTCATACATAAATTATTTTTTGACTTCTTGATTATCATTATTTGAGTTTCATATTCTTATTTTATTTTTTCTTTCATTCCTTCCTTAGTGTAAAGAAAAAAATTTAAAACTATTTTTTTTAATTTGCTATATAGTAATTTAGTATTTGTATTTGAAGAAAGAAATTGGGTCATCTATTATAAATTTTATAAGAATATTAGTGAAACATAAATAAATTTGACCATCAAAATAATAAATCTAAATTAGTCATTGAAACAAAAAAAAGTAAAACAAAAATATGTTTGAGGAGGATTAAATATATCCATGTGGGATTATATTTTTTTATAAAAAAATAATTAAAAAATTAAACCAAAATTAATTTTTTTCACTTCCGTTAGATGAAAAGGGTATATGTGAGCCATTTGTATAACAATAGGGGTATATATGAGCCACTTTCATAACGAGGGGTATATCAACTCCAAATGACAAAGTTGAGGAGTATATATCCGAACCTTTTCTCTTGTATCAATGTTTTAGTTTTAAAGCTAATATGTGTATTTGTGAATCTATGTGTGTGTGAGAGAGAGAGGAGGGAGGGAGGGAGATTGCGTATCTATGTATTTCAGTTTAATTGAGATACAAACCGTTTGTCTTTTTGCTCACCTCTCTCCTCTTCAAAACTATTTCGATGAATTGTAGTTTTGTAAACTGTAGCTACTATTCATAATTATAGTTCAAACTATAACTATTTATGAAAATTCCTCAACAAAATATGCAACATTCCGCACTATATAGCCCGTGAAAGCTATACAACTATTGACATGGTTATTGGAACTTATGTTTTTAAAATTGTGTTGGTCTTTAATTTTTATCCTCATAAAAAATAACTTCCGCAGGGCTCCCATACATGACTTAAGAGCTTATGTCCATTGGATATTTGCCTTGAGTTTCTTACCGTAATTGGATTTTTCTTTTCTAAAAGGAAAATACTAAGTCTCCATATTTAGCTAGTTTTTTTTCTTGTAGGAAAAAGTTTATGACTCTATAAATAGACGCTCATTCATTCTAACTTAGTCGCATTCACAATGTAGTCCATGAGGCTTTGAAAGGTTTGTGTAGGGGATAATTTGTGAGACACAAGTGTTACGTTAGCACTTGTATGCACCTCTTTTTACACCGAGTGAATTGTGTGAGGTTATTTCTCTTGATATTTTGTACTCTCATATTTATATAGTGAGTTGCTCATCTCCTCTTGTGGAAGTAGGTTGATTGACCGAACTACGTTAAACATTTGTGTCTTTTGGTATATTTCTTGTTTGTCTTCTTATTCATAATATTTCAAAGTTTGCTTTGCTAGCTTCGGTATGACACCTGATTATTTCGATCCAACAATGTCCACTAAGTATAAGTTCGATTATTGATTATTGAAGAACAAAAATTAAAGATCAACCTATTTGAAAGACAAGTTGCACAATTTCTTCCTATTGTTCGTCAATTACGAAATGACTTGAATATTATTTGGAGATCATGATCTCCCAATATATTTCCACAATTGAGACACCCTTCTAATTCTAATTCACACATTGACTTCCATGTCGTTCTAATTCTACCCGTTTTTTACAATCTGAGAATTAAATGCATCGACTCAGCAAGACATGTAGTGATTCACTACAGTATAAAACTATACCTTCACAATTATTCATCAATAACCAAAACAAACAACTGAAATCTTTCAGCTTTCAAGATGGTTCCCAAAATATTTTGTTTCCTTCAGCTTTTCACTCTCTTCACTGTTACTTTTGCTTCCACTGAGGAAGCAACTGCTCTCCTCAAATGGAAAGCAACTTTTCGAAACCAAAATAATTCCTTATTGGCTTCATGGACACTAACTACTGATGCATGCAGGGGTTGGTATGGAGTTATATGCTTTAATGATCGGATAAACAGGTTGAATATTACAAATGCTGGTGTCATTGGTACACTCCATGATTTTCCATTTTCATCTCTCCCGTTTATCGAATATGTTGATCTTAGCATGAACCAGCTCTCTGGTATCATCCCCCATGCAATAGGAAACCTCACTAATCTTGTCTATCTTGACTTGTCGTCTAATCAGTTTTCGGGGAAAATCCCACCTCAGATTGGCTCGCTATCAAAGGTTAAGACTCTCTTCATCTTTGACAACCATTTAAATGGTTTCATTCCTATTGACATAGGTAACTTAACTGAGCTCGAAACTCTGCAGCTTTATTCGAACCAACTTTTTGGTCCCATTCCTAGTGAATTGGGGAATCTAAAAAACCTCAATGATTTGGAGCTATCCCGTAATAAACTTACTGGTTCAATTCCAATTACTTTAGGTGACTTAATTGAGCTCAAAATTTTGTACCTTCATTCTAACCAAGTTTCTGGTTTCTTTCCTAGTGAGTTGGGGAATTAGAAAAACCTCAATGATCTGGAACTATGCAATAATCAACTTAGTGGTTCAATTCTAATTACTATGGGTTACTTAACTAAGCTCAAAATTTTGTACCTTTATTCTAACCAACTTTCTGGTCTCATTCCTAGTGAGTTGGGGAATTTGAAAAACCTCACTGATCTGGAACTATCCCATAATAATCTTACTGGTTCAATTCCAATTACTTTAGTTGACTTAACTTAGCTCAAAATTTTGTTTCTTTATTCTAACCAACTTTCTGGTCTCATTCCAAGAGAGTTGGGGAATTTGAAAAACCTCAATGATCTGGAGCTACAAGAAAATCAACTTACTGATTCAATTCCATTTACTCTAGGCGACTTAAATGAGCTCAAAATTTTGTACCTTTATTCTAACCAATTTTTTGATCCCATTCCTAGTGAATTGGGGAATTTGAAAAACCTCAATCATCTAGAACTATCCCGTAATAATCTTACTGGTTCAATTCCAATTACTTTAGGTGACTTAACTGAGCTCAAAATTTTGTACCTTCATTCTAACTACCTTTCAGGTCTCATTCCCAGTGAGTTGGGGAATCTGAAAAACCTCACTGATCTAGAACTATCCCATAATAATCTTCCTGGTTCAATTCCAATTACTTTAGGTGACTTAACTGAGCTCAAAATTTTGTACCTTCATTCTAACCAACTTTCTGGTCTCATTCCTAGTGAGTTGGGGAATCTGAAAAACCTCATTTTTCTGGATTTATGTAATAGTCAACTTACTAGTTCAATTCCAATTACTCTAGGTAACTTAACTGAGCTTAAAATTATGTACCTTTATTCTAACCAACTTTCTGGTCCCATTCCTGTAGAAATAGGGAAGATGAAATCACTTGAGAGATTATCCTTATGGAGTAATAATCTTTATGGTCCAATTCCAATCACTCTGGGTGACTTAACTGAGCTCAAAGTTCTGCATTTTTTTTCTAACCAATTTTCTGGTCCCATTCCAAGCGAATTGGGAAATTTGAAAAACCTCACTAATTTGGATTTGTCTGATAATCAGCTTACTGGTCCTATTCCTGCTTCCTTTGGCAATTTGAGAAACTTGCAGTCACTATATCTCACTGCCAACAAACTTTCTGGTTCTATTCCAAAAGAACTTGCATATTTGGAGAACTTGGTTGTGCTGGAAATGGATGAAAATCAGTTTTCAGGCCATTTGCCTGAGTATATTTGCCAAGGCGGGAAACTTAAGAAGTTCACGGTGGCTAGCAACAAGCTGACAGGGAAATTACCAAGAAGCTTAAGCAAGTGTTCGAGTTTCAAAAGGCTGCGCTTCAATAATAACAGTTTTACTGGGAATTTATCTGAAGCTTTTGGCATCCATCCAAAGCTTCAGTTCATTGATTTGAGTGACAATGATTTTCATGGTGAACTCAACAGCAACTGGGGGAAATGCGAAAATTTGACTGATCTGCGTGTAGCCAGAAATAACATTAGTGGTAGCATACCACCAGAGATTGGAAATGTCAGAGGGCTTTTAGGACTTGATCTTTCATCAAATCATTTGATTGGGCAGATTCCAAAGGAATTTGGAACATTAATTTCTCTGGTTAAGCTCTGTGCAGAACAACAATATCTCTGGCAATATCCGGGGGGAACTTGGGTCACTGACAAAGTTAGAGTCCCTCGATCTATCAGACAACAGATTGAATGGGTCAATCCCGACATGTATAGGAGATTTCGTGCACTTGTTTCAGTTGAACCTGAGCAACAACAAGTTTGGCCAGAATATTCCTAAGGATATAGGGAGGATGACTCAGCTTAATCTACTTGATTTAAGCTATAATCTTCTGGTTGGAGTCATCCCACCTCAGCTAGCCAATTTGAAGGTGTTGGTAAGCTTAAATCTTTCACACAATGGCCTATCTGGGTGCATTCCTGAAGAACTTGAAGGTTTGACTGGTTTGCAGGATGTTGTATTGTCATACAATGAGTTGGAAGGTCCAATCCCTAATAATAAGGCTTTTATCAATGCCTCATTGGAGGGTAGTAAAGGTCTTTGTGGCAATGTAGCAGGACTCCATCCCTGCGAAAGGCCATCTTCTGTGGTGAAGAAGCACTCAATGGAGAAGGGACGTAAACTCATCCTCATCATTGCACTTCCTGTTATGGGAGCACTAGTACTGCTCTGTGTTTTCATTGGTGTTCTCTTTATGTGTAATAAAAGAAGAGCTGGAGATGTTGAAAGGCGGGATGGTGATGGTTGGCTTTCGATATCCATTTTAGATGGAAAGGCATTGTACAGAGACATCTTAAACGCCACAGAAGAGTTTGATGCAAAATATTGCATCGGGCAAGGAGGTCATGGAAGTGTTTACAAGGTAAACCTTCCATCATTAGGGAATATAGCTGTGAAGAGACTTCATTCTTCATTTCGGAATACACATCCCAAAAGCTTCATGAATGAAGTAAGGGCATTGACTGGGATTAAGCACCGGAACATTGTGAACTTCTACGGCTATTGTTCAAAAGCACAACACTCACTCTTGGTTTACGAGTATGTGGAGAGGGGGAGTTTGTCTAGTATATTGAGCAATAACGTTGAGTCCACGAAATTGGATTGGTTTAAAAGGGTGAATATCATCAAGGGTGTTGCTTTTGCTTTATCTTACATGCACCAGGATTGTTCACCACCCATTGTTCATCGAGACATATCAAGCAATAATGTTTTGCTTGATTCTGTTTATGAAGCTCGTGTTGCAGACTTTGGCATAGCAAAGCTTCTCAAACCAGACTCATCCAATTGTACTGCGCTTGCAGGCACATATGGCTATGTTGCACCTGGTAAGGTCCAACTTAATTTTTTTATCCTCTTCTCAAACTTAATGAAATATAGTCAAACACTCTATACTGTTTAAATCTCATTTGCACGTTTAAATTGTTAATACTCTTTTGAAAATTGTGTTGTTTCAGAGCTTGCATATACAATGAAGGTTACGGAAATGTGTGATGTTTATAGCTTTGGAGTATTAGCTTTGGAGATAATCAAAGGAAAGCATCTCGGGGAATATATTACTGTGCTAGGTAATTCGTCGACTATAGATCATGAGCAGCTTAGTGATTTGCTAGATGAACGCCTTCCATATCCTGAAGATGAAGTAAAAGATGTTTTGGTTTTTATCATCAAGCTAGCATGTTCTTGTGTTCTTGAAGCTCCAAAATCAAGGCCAACAATGCACTTCATAGCTCCTAGGTTATCATCAATGGATGCACGTCCACCTACTCATGTAAAGCAAGCTTTGTAATCACTGATATATATGTAAGGTGTCTTTGTATGAAAATGAATAATCTACGACACCAAGTGGTTGGGAAGTAAGTTATTTTGATGCTATTTAAAAAAAAAAAAACAAAAAAATCCATTTCAAAAAGTAAGTTATTTTGATGAGAAGGTCCATGACAAAGCTATTACTGTGAGTGTATAACTGTTTTTTTCAGTTGAAAGATGGTAATCTTATTTATAGCTTATGAATCAGTAATTCAGTACATAGGGAGGAACAATATAGTGTATGCAGTTTACAAGACACCATTACAGATATTACTGTCTTAGCAGCAAACTAGCCCATGTATTCCAAGCTTCATATTTCGTTTGGTACAACTGATGTTATATTTGGGACTGTTTTTGGTATTTTTGGTGGAAGACAAGTAATGGTTGATTTTGATGGCCGGAAAAGTAAAAAGGAGGGGCAGGTTTTTCTTTCCCACTAATTTAAAGGGCGTATTTATGTCAATAAAAGTAACTTGCAAATTGGCTCAAATTTACTTTAATAGAATAATCTAATAAAAAATAGAGATTAAGTTGAAAAACAATCTCAATCATTCATGTTTATAAGTCCGTGTGTCCATCATCTAAATATGCATTGACAAGTATTTTGCAAAATATCTCCCAATATATCTTTGACTTCCAAGTCGTTCTAAGTCTTCCTGTAATTTAATGATTCTCTAAACAGCATTAAACTCCCACTGACTCACAAGTCTTGTAATGATTCTCTACACTGTATAAAACTCTACCCTGCACAAGTTCATCAATAACAAAAACAAACAACTGAAATCTTTTAGCTTTCAAGATGGTTCCCGAAATATTTTATTTCCTTCAGTTTTTCACTCTTTTCACTGTTACTTTTGCTTCCATTGAGGAAGCAACTGCTCTCCTCAAATGGAAAGCTACTGTCCTAAGCCAAAATAATTCCTTACTGGCTTCATGGACACTAAGTACTGATGCATGCAGGGGTTGGTATGGAGTTATATGTTTTAATGGTAGGGTAAACAAGATCAATATTACTAATGCTGGTGTTGTTGGTACACTCCATGATTTTCCATTTTCATCTTTCCCGTCACTTGAATATGTTGATCTTAGCATGAACCAGCTCTCTGGTATCATACCCCCTGCAATAGGAAACCTCACTAATCTTGTCTATCTTGACTTGTCGATCAACCAGATTTCAGGCAAAATCCCACCTCAAATCGGCTCGCTATCAAAGGTTGAGACCCTCTTCATCTTTGACAACCATTTAAATGGTACCATTCCTGTTGAAATAGGGAAGATGAAGTCACTTGAGGTTTTAACCTTGTATAGGAACAATCTTTCTGGTCCAATTCCAATTACTTTGGGTGACTTAACTGAGCTTAAATTTTTGTACCTTTATTCTAACCAACTTTCTGATCTCATTCCTCGAGAGTTGGGGAATTTGAAAAACCTCATAGAGCTGGATTTATCCAGTAATCAACTTACTGGTTCAATTCCAATAACTTTAGGTGACTTAACTGAGCTCAAAATTTTGTATCTTTATTCTAACCAACTATCTGGTCTCATTCCTCGTGAATTGGGGAATTTGAAAAACCTCAATGATCTGGAGCTATCCCACAATAAGCTTACTGGTTCAATTCCATTTACTGTAGGTGACATAACTGAGCTCGAAATTTTGTACCTTTATTCTAACCAACTTTCTGGTCTCATTCCTCGAGAGTTTGGGAATCTGAAAAACCTCATAGAGCTGGATTTATCCGATAATCAACTTGCTGGTTCAATTCCAATAACTTTAGGTGACTTAACTGAGCTCAAAATTTTGTACCTTTATTCTAACCAACTTTCTGGTCTCATTCCTCGAGAGTTGGGGAATCTGAAAAATCTCACAGAGCTGGCTTTATCTGATAATAAGCTTACTGGTTCAATTCCATTAACTCTAGGTGACTTAACTGAACTCAAAATTTTGTACCTTTATTCTAACCAACTTTCTGGTCTCATTCCTAGAGAGTTGGGGAATCTGAAAAACCTCACAGAGCTGGATATATACCATAATCAACTTAGTGGTTCAATTCCAATAACTCTAGGTGACTTAACTGAGCTCAAAATTTTGTATCTTTATTCTAACCAACTTTCTGGTCCCATTCCTAGAGAGTTGGGGAATTTGAAAAACCTCAATGATTTGGAGCTACAAGAAAATCAACTTACTGGTCCAATTCCTGCTTCCTTTGGCAATTTGAGAAAGTTACAATTTTTGTATCTCCGTGCCAACAAACTTTCTGGTTCTATTCCAGAAGAACTTGCATATTTGGATAACTTGGTAGAGCTGATACTAAGTGAAAATCAGTTTTCAGGCCATTTGCCTGAGCATCTTTGCCAAGGTGGGAAACTTGAGAACTTCACAGTGGCCAGTAACAAGTTAACAGGACCAATACCAAGAAGCTTGAGCAAGTGCTCCAGTTTTAAATGGGTCCGCTTTAACAACAACAGTTTCACTGGGAATTTATCTGAAGCTTTTGGTACCTATCCGAAGCTGCTGTTCATTAATTTGAGTGATAATGATTTTCATGGTGAACTCAGCAGCAAGTGGGGGAAATGCAAGAATTTGACTGATTTTCGGATTGCCAGAAATAACATTAGTGGTAGCATACCACCAGAGATTGGAAATGTCAAAGGGCTTTTAGGACTTGATCTTTCAGCGAATCATTTGATTGGGCAGATTCCAAAGGAATTTGGAAAATTAACCTCTCTAGTTAATCTTTTTCTGCAAAACAACCAAATTTCTGGCAATATACCTGAGGATTTTGGGTCACTAACAAAGTTAGAGTCCCTCGATCTATCAGACAACAGATTGAATGGGTCAATCCCGATGTGTATAGTAGATTTCGTGCACTTGTTTCAGTTGAACCTGAGCAACAACAAATTTGGCCAGAAAATTCCAAAAGAGATAGGGAGGATAACTCAGCTTAATGTACTTGATTTGAGCTATAATCTTCTGGTTGGAGATATACCCCCTCAGTTAGCCAATTTGAAGGTGTTGGTAAACTTAAATCTTTCCCACAATGGCCTATCTGGGCGCATTCCTCAAGAACTTGAAAGTTCAACTGGTTTGCAGGATGTCGTATTGTCATACAATGAGTTGGAAGGTCCAATCCCTAATAATAAGGCTTTTATCAATGCCTCATTGGAGGGTAATAAAGGTCTTTGCGGCAATGTAGCAGGACTCCATCCCTGCGAAAGGCCATCTTCTGTGGTGAAGAAGCACTCAATGGAGAAGGGACGTAAACTTATCCTCGTCATTGTACTTCCTGTTATGGGAGCACTAGTACTGCTCTGTGTTTTCATTGGTGTTCTCTTTATGTGTAATAAAAGAAGAGCTGGAGATGTAGAAAGACGGGATAGTGATGGTTGGCTTTCGATATCCATGTTAGATGGAAAGGCATTGTACAGGGACATCTTAAACGCCACAGAAGAGTTTGATGTAAAATATTGCATCGGGCAAGGAGGACATGGAAGCGTTTACAAGGTAAACCTTCCATCATTAGGGAATGTAGCTGTGAAGAGACTTCATTCTTCATTTCAGAATACACATCCCAAAAGCTTCATGAATGAAGTAAGGGCATTGACTGGGATTAAGCACCGGAACATTGTGAACCTCTACGGCTATTGTTCGAAAGCACAACACTCACTCTTGGTTTATGAGTATGTGGAGAGGGGGAGTTTGTCTAGTATTTTGAGCAATGAAGTTGAGTCCAAGAAATTGGATTGGTTTAAAAGGGTGAATATCATCAAGGGTGTTGCTTTTGCTTTATCTTACATGCACCAAGACTGTTCACCACCTATTGTTCATCGAGACATATCAAGCAGTAATGTGTTGCTTGATTCTGAGTATGAAGCTCGTGTTGCAGACTTTGGAATAGCAAAGATTCTCAAGCCAGACTCATCCAATCGCACTGCGCTTGCAGGCACATATGGTTATGTCGCACCTGGTAAGTTTTAAATAGTTCATGAACTATAACCAAACACTCCATTGTTTTTATCTCATTTACATGTTTAAATTCTTAATATTGTTCTGGAAATTGTATTGTTCAGAGCTTGCATATACAATGATGGTTACGGAAATGTGTGATGTGTATAGCTTTGGAGTGTTATCATTGGAGGTAGTCAAGGGAAAGCATCTTGGGGAACACATTTCTGTGCTAGCAAATTCATCGACTATAGATCCTGAGCAGCTTAGCGATTTGCTGGATGAGCGCCTTCCGTATCCTGAAGATAGAGTAATAGATGTTTTGGTTTTTATCATAAAGCTAGCATGCTCTTGTTTGCTTGAAACTCCAAAATCAAGGCCAACAATGCACTTCATCTCTCATAAGTTATCATCAATGGATGCATGTCCACCTATTCATCAGAGAAACCCCCATGTAATGCGAGCAATATATAATCCTTGATATGTATGGAAATGTCGCTAAGTGTGAAGTAAGTATTTCAATTTCAATATATAATCCTTTGTTTACTGTATTTAAGACCTTATATTACAGTCGCACATAGTTCGTCTTGGAAGTTTTCTTTCAATTTCAAAGGTTTTACCTGTATGTATAGAAGCTAGAAAATGACCCTTTCTGCTCAAGCTTTTTTCCCAACTGAATAAATGGAGTTGTCCTTCATTGTAATGACTAATGAGATTACATTTTGTGTCATGAAGAAAAGAAAATCTGACCAGAAGATCCAGTGCTGGAAGCTTGTGTCAGTTTTTACATCGACAGAAATACCCTAAAAAACAAACTCCAATCATCAATTTATCAAAACAACAATAAGTCTAACAAATTCATTTAACATTTAATTTTTTTTTTCCATGTTTGTATGATTTTTTTTAAAACTCATAGGACGCCCCGTGAAACTTTTAACTTTTAATTCGTTTTCATTCACTTCCATGATAATGAAACATTTGACTCCCAAGTCGTTCGAATGGAAAAAAGATTAACTCAAGTCTTCTTCTTTGGTGGTCCACAAAATGACTTAATGATTATGGAGAAAATTGATTCCATAAACTTTAAGCGTCGTGCGTCGTCCACAATTGACACTTAAAAAATAAATTCCATTGACTCGCAAGTCTTGGGTTATTTAAGCTACCACCTAACCTACTATCCCTAGGAATTGAATTCTTCGGTCACCAAGTAAATTGCGGAATATAAATTATGTTATGGTCATAATTTCTTTTTTTTTTTTGGAAAATTACTTTCAAATTTAGTCACTTAATATTTGAAAGAAATTAAGAAATCTTCAATTTAAAAGATTCTAATGGAAAAAGAAAAAAAGGCCAAAATAGTTTCTTATCTTTGGGTTAAGACTCAAAGCTAGAGTCATACTTGAGTTTCCATATGGAGCATTAATAGTTTCTCATGTTTGCAATATTGATGAACTTTTAGACTTCCTCCAAACTTTTTGCCTATTTTTTAACATTAATTTGTCCACATTTTTATATATGGAATGTTCATTTGTTTTATTATTTATTTAGTAGAAATAATAAGAAGGTGAGAAGAAGAACATCTTGTTTTGTTAAGTTGAAATACTATTGCAGCTAAACTAAGAATACTTTATTCTGTTCAGTTAAAATATTATTGCAGCTAAACTAAGAACACCTTGTTCTGTTCAGTTAAAATATTATTGCAGCTAAACTAAGAACACCTTGACATATGACGTTAAAAGAAAAGAAAAGAAAAAATTGTACTATTGCACGTGAAATCGATGTAACTAACCTCTCAATTTTAGGTGCTATAATATTTCTACTAAATAAAACAAGGTATTATTCTTTTTACCTTCTCTCACATGGAGTTATTATTTCTACTAAATATATAAAAAGATGATTAAACATCTCATAGATAAATTATGGATAAAATCAATGTAAAAAGATAGACAAAAATTGAGGAAGGACCAAAAGTGCATCAATATTGCAAACATGAGGGACTATTAGTGCTTCATGTGAAAACTCAAGAATGACTTTGAGTATTAACCCAAAGATAAATGATTATTTTTAGTTTTTTCTCAATGAAAAAATCTTTAAAAATTTCAATAAACGAGTAAGGTTCCTTATAAGGGGAATTTTCGCATATAGTCACTCAAAATAATTTAATTAGGCTCTATAGTTATAATTTGTTAATTACGATTCGTAGCTACATGTTAGAGGGAGGAGAGAGACGAGCGAGACTGGGAAAGGGGGGGGAGAGAGGAGAATGGTATTGGGAGAGGGAAGAGAGAGGCGAGCGATTTCGGGAGAGGGAGTAGAGAGACGAGCAAGAGAGGGAAGAGAGTAGAGAGGTGAATTGTATTTGTATTTCGGTTAGATAATTGTATATATGTAATTAGTATGTATATGTATCAATGATTGTATTTGTATATCTGCATACAATTTGTATTTGTCTAAAATTGAATCGAGTTCAAACATTTGTATTTATATATCCAATCTCTCTCGCTTTATACACACACAAATTATACATTTGTATTTGTATAATTTGTGTTTGTATAAAGCAAAAGAGACATGAAGAAGAGAACTGGGCAGAGAGAGATTTGTATTTGTATAATTATAAGTGTATAAGATGGATAGATATGTATATGTATTTATATATCCAATCTCTCTCTCTCTCTCTTGATAGAAACACAAAAAATGCATTTGTGTTTTGTATAAAGTGAGAGAGAGACTGAGCAGGGAGAGATGACTAAAAAAGAGGAGAGAGAAGGGAGGGAGGCGAGAGAGAGGAATGTAATTATAGCTAGAAGGAAGTTCCAAATTGTAGTTAATACAAACTATAGCTATGTTACCTCTGTCCGAATTTATATGACTCACTTTCCTTTTTAGTCCGTCCCAAAAAGAAGGACACATTTCTATATTAAGTAACAATTTAACTTTAAAATGTTAATTTTACCTTTAATGAGATAGTTTATAGTCAGAGAAATTTTTATCATTCATTTTAGACCATAAATTTTGAAAGTCTTTCTTTCTTTCTTAAACTCCATGTCTAGTCAAACTACTTTACATATAGGAGGGAGTATTTGTTTGCTTAATCGCCTAATTTCCCCTTCTTATAAACATTTCAAGAAAGTTTAAAAACCTACATTTCTGCTTCCTTTAATCCTTTTGGACTACTGTTGCTTTGTTTTTGGGCACTGGCCCATTCCAGTTGTTTTTACCACTGGACTCTTTTAAGTCCAAAAGTTCAAATAGGTAAGATGCGAAATCAAGTTATTTATCTTCTGCGAAAGTTCTGTTTGTTTTCATTAGATTTGTTGATCTTTGTCGGTAAAGTTTGTTTCTTTTTCAACTTTTTGAATTTAAGGTCTATCAATAGAGTATTGAGATTTTGTATCCCCGGATTTGGTGAAGAATTTTTTTCTGGGAAATGTCACTTTGCCCAAAAAAGGTTCAATTCATATTCGAGAGTGTAACTGATGAATACTGAATATGACAATTCAATTCAGTTCTGTTTATGCTAACGACTCAATTGAGTTCCTGAGACAGTGACATTGATTTCAAGAAGAATATTGAAAAGGCCAAACACATATACAACTCCATTTAACTTGTCTCTAAACTTCATTTTGAAACTTCAACTCAACCTTGTTTCATATTGAAACTCCAATTCCATTTTTCATGTACCATTAGTCTAAGTGTAGCCGTTGAAGTCCATTTTGATACCATTTTGCTCTATGGTGTCAAAAGTGTTCTTCAAGTACATAGCACACACCTAAAATTAAGCTGTCACCGCGCATGACTTGATGCTTATACTCGTGAAGTTCTAGCTGATCTCTGTATATTTTTTGTTGCTTTTTGCTGATAGCCTATCAAACTGATCCTGCTTTTTGGTGTTGATGGTTTGCTTTTAGTGTTCAATTGTATCCTCTGTATTCATTATGCACCTTCTGCAGGTGTGCTAAGTTATGTGTTTATATGTACTTTTATCACTTAATCAATGTTTACAGATTTGTATCTAACAATAATAATCATGGTTTGATGTAAACACTGGTGAGTCTATATCTATAATAACTGGAAGTTTGTAATTCTCGAGATATACCACATTTTGTGCTGCTCATTATCTTTTTACTTCCAAGTGCTACCCCAAATTCAGCACCGCTCGGGATGTGTGTGACATGTTTCTTCTTCATGAGCCATCCGAACAATAATATCAACATTCCGCTCTGCATGGCCTGAGAAAACAATACAACTATTCACAGTGTTGTTGGCACTTCATGTGTTCTTAAAATTTTGTGTTGGGCTTAAATTTTTATTTGGCAAGATTACTAAACTACACTACATATGTTTACATATTCTCGTTTAATCCCTACTCTTTCATAAAAATTCAAAAATCCCTATTTTTCCCCAAACCCTCTATTCTGGATACTTTATTCTGAAAGAACCCAAAACCCACCTTTCTCATCCCCAAAATCTTGCCTCTAATCTTTTCCCACTACCAAATTAGTTACTGAATTCAAAGCAATTTGATTTTCAAACGATTCTATCTCTATTCAACCGTCCAAAGTTCAAAATAGGTATTATCATCTTCTTCATTTTTCTTTCAAAATCAATTTTTGTGTGTCAATTGATTTTGGATCAGTTGTCAAAATGGATCATTCGTCTTTTAATATTGGGATTTCCCAAATAATAACACCTAACAATGATCAAATTTTTGATTCAGAAGACCCCAACTTGGCAGAATAGAGGTCTAAAAGTTTGCATGCACCGACATTAATGGCAAATCAAACTTCTACGAAGAGAAAATCGAAAAAGGAGGTGGGGGCATTATCTAAAGCAAAGGATGCAAAAATTCAAAAGAAAAGGGATAGAAAGGTTGCCTCTCCCATTTCTCGACCAACACTACCCATTGTATGCATTTCTTTTGCTTTTAATTTAGACATTGTTGAAAAATAAAGTTTTATTTTATATATTGAAATCTGGAGTTGTTACCCGGAAACATTGATTATTTTATCAAATGTTGGTATT